TGTATCATCTGCACCCTCCCCCTGCCCCCCATCCCCCCAGCCCCAGGGCCTCAGGGAGCAGATTCCTTACATGCTTGTGGCCGGAGGCAGAACCAAGGAAGTGAGCTGGAGGGAGGTCAGCACAGTCAAGAAAGAGTTAGAAAACATGCCTCCTCCAACCCCAGTTAATTATTGGCAGGGCAAGGGGAAAGAAGGGGTCACCGAACTCCAGCAGCTTGACCCCAGCCACCCACCTGGGAATAGCATTTGCAGTTGAAGCCAGGCAACCAGTGGCCTCTCTTGCCCCCAGCACCTGGGGGACAGAGCATGGGTGAGGGCCCTGGCCTCTCTTTAGGCAGCCTGGAAAGAAGGCAGTAAGTTCTGCTAACTGTGTGCACTCTGGCTCTGTGCTTGCTCCCTCCACAGTTCAAACTTCCCAAAGAGTACAGCTGGCCTGAAAAGAAGCTGAAAGTCTCCATTCTGCCCGACGTGGTGTTCGATAGTCCACTGCACTAGCCTGGGCTGGGCCCTGCAGGGGCCAAGGGAGAGCCCAGCTGCTCCCCGGTGACTTCCAGTATAACAACTGCGTAAAAGAGATTCCCACAAATAAAAGGACAAGTGTGAGGATGACTGCGCAGCCACCGCACCCCCGCCTCACCTGCAGCTCAGGGGCCTCACCCCCCAGCCAGCCAAGCCCCCTGGGCTGGGAGCCGGCAAATGCAAACCTTCCCCTCCAGCTGCTGCCACAGGCTGTGGTTTGAGATTTGACTCTGGACCTTCGATGTGCCCTTAGGTGGAGACAGGCCTCATCCTCACCTATCCCCTGCCACACAGTCCAGCACGAGGGAGTGGAGTGGCCGCGTGTGTGCCCTGCCCAGTTCTGCTCTGGGAAGCCTTTGGTAGACAAGCTCCTCTGGCCACGGAACAGCTCCTCCAGCCGTGTTTGCTTTTCTTCCTCCTTATTTTATTTTGTAGAAACCGGATGGTATTTTATTGGTCTTCAAAGATGTCCAGAAGCCGTGTATATAATGTTTTTTAAACAGAACTTTATTCCCAGATGAACTTTCTCATTCTCTAGGACAGGGGCCTAGGGCCGTCTCGCCCTCCCTGAGCCACCACCAGAGAAGGTGCCGGTGTCCGCCTGCCAGCCCAGGGCCCGGAGGAGCCAGCTTCACAGAGAGGCTTTTCTTCCCAGCTGGGCCTGGTGGAGCCTGGGGCAGGGGGAGAGCTGACTTACGCCCCCATGCAGCCTTCAGCCGAGTTTCGCTGGGGCCAGTTGGACGTGCTGCTTGTTCTCAAGTGGACTAGGCCCCTGGCAGAGTTCAAGGACCACCAGGGTCTCAGAGACTTGGTAGCCCCGGCCCCATCTTCCGGGCCTTATCCACCCAGCCAGGCTTGCCTGAGAGGGTGAGGCCCAGCACTGCGTAGACCATCCCCACCTGCCCCTCAGGGCCTAGGTCTCCAGCTCTTTGACCAGTCCGGTCCCATTTCCTCATCCCCTGGGCCTCCCAGCCTCCAGGCTGCAGGACTCTGGCATATTAAAAATGGAAAAAATCAACTTCTCAACATGTCCTTCACTTTGATTTTGCAAACACCGCACTCTGCCGCCCTCCTCCTCCCTGCATCCATTCTTTTCTCGTCTTTCCTTCCCCGTTTCCTTCCCTGGGCCTCTTTCCCCGCATCCTGGCCTCTCATTGTCTCTTGCCCCCCTACTGCAGATCTCATGGTCTTCCTCCCAGAAACAGACCAATCTCTGGCCCGTGGGTTTAGGGTTCCTCTTGGGTTATCTCCCACTTCTGACCTGGAATCAACAGGCCCCTTTCGTGCCCTCTTACCTCCCACTCTAGGGACTGCTATTTCAAGATCACCCTTCAGGCCTTTCCAAAGCAAACTCCTTTTGTCTTGTCGGGGACCTAATAGGACCACACACTGCCCCATCTGCACTGCCATACACACATGGGCACCACCATAGTGCTACAGGAGGCTCATGGGGGGCAGGACCCCTCTGATGAGAGCTTCAGCCAAAGAGCTGCCTCTAGGGGTCATGAGGGCAGTGGCCAGGCCCTCTAGGGAGCAAGATCTGGACCTCCAAGGGACCACTGGGGCCTGGCTGCTTCTCTGCACATACCCTCAGGGCTACTCAGTTAGCTCCATCAGACTCAGAGCTTCAAGGTGGATCAGTCTGGAGTACTGGGAAAGACAGGCTCCAGGCCTCCACCAATGAAGAGGAAGCTCCTTTGGACCTGATGTTGGCAGTAGCTGTGCCTTCCGCTCCAAGGACTTTTCCAAAAGGACATTTTTTCTGGCCTTCGCGCACCATAGAATCACTGCCTTTGAAGCTCTTGTCATCTGATGTTTCATGGCCAGAGAGGTGCCCTTAGCTTGTCTCCTTTCCTTGCCACCCTGACCTTGCCTCTCCACAAATTCTTTCCTTCTGGGGACCTGCCTCTTCCTGTCTCGTTTGGCTGATGGGGAGGAGGGTATTTTCTGGACTAAGCTTCGTCATCAGTATGGGAGGCAGGCGGGAAGCAGGTGAGCTCTGAGACAATGAGCGTGAAGCCTGTGGCCCCTTCCTGCCCCGTGATGTCAGGAACCTCCAAGGTCCGGCTGAGGCCAGGTGTCCATCTCCTTTCCCTACAGTGCATTGGCTCTGGTGGAGTAGCAGAGCATACACCATCTCTGACCTGGCCTTCCAGAGGTTTCTCTGGGAGGGGGACTCTCTACTGAGCTTCTGGCTGGGGAGAAGGGACCCTCACTGAGGACCAAGTGAGGCCGACCGTGTAGCATGCCCAGCATAGCACCTGGCATATGGTGGGTACTCATTAAATGCCTCTTTCCCTCCCTGCAGCTCTTTGGGAGCCCTGACATAGTGAGTTGGGGAGGTAAGAAGCCTCCCTCCCTAAATCTGCACCTTTCAGAGGCTTCCTTGTGGCTTGCCCAGTCCCTCCCTCCAGGTCCCTGTGGCTAAAGCTTCTGAGAGGAAGGGGCTCCCCCATGCAGTTGGACTTCCATGTACATATGGTACACTCTGGAACTTCTCAGGTCCAGTGTGGGCTACAAGAGGACCACAGACCCAGCTGTCATTCTGACGGGTAGAGCAGCTCATGCAAGGTCTCAGGTCTGGCCAGGGAGCTGGGTGCCTCTTCCTGCCCTTCTCTTCCTCTTCCAAAGGCAAGCCTTCAGGGCAGGAACCAGGAAGCCTTGGGGAGAGTCTAAAGGGCTAGAGCATTTTAAAAAATAAACACAGGGTCTTGGGACTGGGTTTTGAGATTGAGTTGAGAGCAGGGAAAAAACCCTGAAGGTTGGTGCCCCTATGGGGCAGACCAGTAGAGAACTCCCTTGACTGTATTTTTTTATCTGGTTGTCTTTCCTCTCTGGCTTCCAGGTCCTCTATGCCAGGGGAGGTACCTGGGTCCCTGTTAGAAGACAGGAGCCCTGTAGGGAGAGCCCTCCTTTTGTATAAGTACCTGAATGCTGCAGTGAGCAGACTTTTGTAAAATTTTATATTAGTTTCTAATGTCAATTGTGACTCGGTTCCTGGGGGCTGCAGCCAGCTTGGGACTTTTGTAAGAATTTTTGGGTGACTCACTTAGATGTCGTTTCCTTCTTGCTCCCTCTTCCTCTGTGTAATCTAAGTGCATTAAACATATTTGCAGAAGTGCCTGGATCTTGTGCTCCTTTCTGGATGCCTGGAGTAGGGGAGCGGAAAGCCTGGGGCCCTGGTAGAGGGGGTGGGTTGGACGCAGCCACTTAGAAGAAGCCAGGATGGGGGAAGGCCCCAGAAGACTGTTGTCGGGAGTGGTGAGGGTGCCAAGGAGCAGGATCACGCAGCTGGTGACTCTTCAGTCATGCAGAAATGACTTTGCAGGGACAGGCTCCTTTTCACTGGTCTTGAATTCCTCTAAGGTCGTGGGGGTAGGTGCAAGGCACAGGTCTGGGAAGATGAGTGGGTGGGTCAAGACCCTCTTTATTCCCCTTCTGCCCTCCTCTCACCAAAAAGCCCTTTCCCCTTGGAAAGGTGGGCCTTCCTTACCTCCCATTTTAGAGTCCTCGTGTCCCTTCCAGCGAGGGCCAGGAGACAGCCACTCCCCTAACCATCTAAGTTCAGCCTCCTAACCCACTGCCTGATAGCAGTTTGGAGGGGCAGCCTCAGAGCCGTCACACCCACTGGGCGACACAGAAGCCAGCCTTCCCTTCCTGTGGCCTGGGTGAGGAGGTGATGGATCCTCCTTCTGTGGATTTCCCGGCTCCTGTTTCTTCGGGGCCTGGCATGGAAAACAGAGCCCAGTGCCCGTGGGGAGAAGACAACAGCCTGGGACCTCAGAGGCAGGAAGGAGAGGATCCACACCCAGACCGGGTACCCAGAACCTGCAGGACTGCTCTGGGCCTTCACGTGTCCTTTCCCTTCCTGCTAGGCCTAGCTCTCTGGGAGAACAGCAGGGCCTTTTTTCTGGTCCTCAGGATGGAGCCGTAGCACCCAGAGGCTTCTGCTGGAGCTACTGGCAGAAGTCCTGGGGGGATCACGAGAAGGGAGGGGGCAAAGGGTGTCATTTCTTATGAAGGGACTCCCTGTCCTCTTTGAGAACCAGTCGTATCTGGGGGACTTTCCCCAAGCCGAGGTCAGTACTCCTTCCCTGTGAACTCCTACTGAACCGTGGCTGGCCCCTGGAACAGTGGGGCAGGTCCTGTCTGGGGCCCTCAGTCACTCTGGCAGTCAGAGCAAGGGAGCTAGGAGGGTCTGGAGCCAGGCTGACAAGCACAGGGCGGCCCAGGCCACACCCCTTCCCCTTTTCTTTTCTCCTTGGAGGTTGGGGGGTGATTATCTAATCTTCCTCATCTGACCAACCTAGAAGGACCCAGGGCCACAGAGTTCCTGCCCCAGAGAGTACAGAATTGCAAGATTCTGTGTTTAGGTAGTTCCAGGAGACAGGACTAGGCTGTGGTTATTTCTGGAAAGAGGCTCCTGTGCCTATATCAGAGACCCCACCCTAGATTTAGGGAGGGGAGAAATCTGCCATGTGTTATGTAATGTAGCCTCCAAAAGACCTGTACATTCCTCCAGGTGTCGCTCTGCCCCATCTGGGGGGCAGGGGGTGGGATGGGGTTCAGGGGCCCTGGGTTGTGGGGAACCCACAGGCTCCAGAGCCATGGGGCTAGGGAGCCTAGGAGATTTGCCAAACTAGCCTGACCAGGAGAATGCAAGCTGGAAGTGACTCAACGCAGCCTGCCAGGCACTGAGGCAGCTACAGGTTGCAGCCCAGAGGAGGTGGGGAGACCAGGGTGGGGGTGAGGGATTGAGGCGCAGGGCAGGAAAAGGGAGAGATCTGTCCCAATACAGCAGCGGGGAGGCTGGGGGTGGGGGGGGGGGGGAGGGGGGAGGGCGGGGCAGGTCAGGATGTGGTTTGGGAGGGGCAACCATCTCCAGGCCCCTTCCTTGAGGGTACCATGGGACAGTCCCTTTCTCTCCCCCTTACTTCCAGAAGTCTTTGGGAGAGAGCTAAGGACAGGATGGGGGA